CCCCAAAACCCCAAAACCCCAAAACCCCGCAGATTAATATTGCTCTTTAATATTGAAGAACTCTTTAAAACATCAACAAAAGCATTTATTCACTGTCTTAATCATAATCTTCATAGCTATTTAATACTCAATCCAATAAATCATCATCGTTTTTACTATTCTTTCCAGTCTTCTTTTGCAGTGTTTAAGTTGGTGAGACAGTTCCTAAACCTTTCTTTTTATTGATTATCTAATCATATGATTCATTTTACTGATCTAATTCCCTGATTTTCTGCTCTAATTCATAATCAATCTTTCTAATAAAGTTGGTAACAAAGCCCTTCTAACCTAATCTACCAGCTCTTCCAACTCTGTGTAAATAATCACCTGCAGTTTTAGCAAATTCAAACTGAATAACATGCTCTACATTCATTGTGTCAAGCCCTCTGCTTGCAATATTTGAACAGACCAAAACAGGTAACTTTTTATTTTAGAAATATTGTAAAGTTGTCTATCTACCGAGCAAGCCAATATCCATGTAATATGGTAAATTTTTAATCTCAGCTTTCTTGAGAGCTTCGCATATTTTATCAATAACTTTTTTCTACTCAGCAAATATTAGAATACTAGAATTCCTTTAAACATCTAATGATCGCTTCACACAATCGACTAAGAGATTTATTTCATGGTCATCACTTACGATACTGTTGGCTCTTAAAAGTTATGATCTTTCTAGATCAATCCATTCTACTTATAGCATTGGTGAAGTTCTATGTAAGTTATCTGTTTTTACATGCTAAATATTTGGTATCCAATCTTGAATAAGAGTAATAGCATCATGCCCATTCATTATGCTTTTAGGTATTGTGGCTCCAGTAAAGATAAACTATCTTTTTTTATTCTATTAAGCTGTAATAGGATCTGAATCGCTATTAAAAGTTGCATATTTTCTCAGTATTTTTACTAGCTAGGCGCTAATAGCGGAGTTTGACAGTAGCTCATCAAATTCATCAATGACTATCACTGCTGGGTTTATATCATAAGGATCATATTTATCTTTATTTTCTATGATATGGCTCATTACTACAGGAGTTGCTAGTAAAATATCAGTAATTTTCCAACTAGCATTATTTACTGCATTTTTAAGCTGAATCTCAAATTATTCTGTCTCGGTCATCTCTTTTTCTCCCTTTTCCTTATCTGGGGACTAAAATTAATTGTTTAATAATAGAATACATACTATATATTCTACTATGGGTGTCTTCATTTATAACTGAGATGTAACTCTATTAATCAATATTCTTTCATTAAGGTCCAAAGTTCTTGCCTAAACATACACTTGACTAAGGAGTTCCTTAGAATAGGAAAGGATAATTGCTCCTTTCATTTCATCTGTATAGCCTTTACTAAAACTTAGCCTCTTTGCTTGGCTTTACTTCTGAGACATATAAGTGATCTCAGCCGCACTAAGAAACATCTGCTCTTCATTTTGCTTATTCATTTTAAACCTTGCTGCTTTAGGTTTGGCATTCATTCTATCTTTATATTGAAAGAGCTGATTTAAGATTGGTAAGAGATAGGCTAGTGTTTTCCCAGATCCAGTCTCAGAAGTTAAGATCATGCTCTATCCCTCTAATAAACCAGACTGTATAGCCTTTAAACATATTAAATTTCAATTATATTCTTACTAAATTTTGCATCTTAGTCATATATTAGTAGTTATTAGCTTATAAACCAGTTGTCAGATCATTATGAACTATGCTTTATAAATTGTCAAATGGAGCATTATGATCCAGAAATGTAAATTTATTTGTATCACTTCTTTCCTCAATAAATAATTAGTTGATTTTTCTAGCATTTTAAAGATTATTAGAGCTTAACCTATTAGTAGCAGAAAACAAGCAATAATTGAAGTTGGCATATATAGATTTGTGAAATTTGTTTACTCTATGGAATATTTTCATTTTATGAGAATTATAAATTTATAATAATCCACAATTAAATGAATCGATATTTATTCAATTTGACATCAGGGGTTTTGGGGTTTTGGGGTTTTGGGG